CCACCTGCCCAGTGAGGGAGTGACGGACCGGGAGTGTTTATCCCCGTTGCTCTGTGGGGGGATTTTCTTACAAGCCCCCCGGTTGAGAAGGAGTGAAGTTTCCATTTCAAGAGGATGCCCGCGGGGGGAAATCATGTGAGTTTTAGGGATGGCTGGCATGCCTAGTTCTCAGCCATCCGGTAGGCGTGCATGGCTGAGATCTAGGCGTGCCAGCCATCCTTAGCACGGATGGCTGCGAAACAGGGAGCGCAGCCATCCAAGGTGCAGATGTTAGCCCACAGGTACCTGGGGTCACTCCCGCGAAACTCGTGAACTAGCCGGGCGGGGCAGTCGGAGAAGGGGCAACTCCGTGCACTGACGGTCGGCCGTCAGAAAACACGCCTCCGTGGATCGCGTCACACCAATCCTCGCTACCCAACGCGGCCAAAGGATATCCACCTCGAGAACCTCGAGAACAGGTACCTGGTACACCGAATAAAAGAATTGGCGGTGAACGAAAAGCCGATCGCTCGCCGATTGAACGCCCACGCCGCCGTGCCTTCATCCACCGCCGCTGCGAGGTTTGAGACGCAAATGGCCCTTCGGTCATGCCAAAACTGCTCGCAGACACTTTACTCTGGAATGACACTGTACATGGCGCACGGAAGCGCCTTTTGCTCGGCACGCTGCCGACTCGATGCGTTTCTCGATACTTCAACGACGATGCCGCTGCCCAAACATGAGCCACACATGCCGATGGTCGCGTCCATGACTCGCACCGCCTCCTTTGCTGCGCCGTCGTGTCCAACACCGAGCGGCAGCACTGGCTCAGACACCGCACTTGACACCGCATGAAGTAACGAACGGCACACGCTGATCGCACGTGCTTGTAGGTGTATGTGGTCGCAATGCGTGTGGGAGTGGAGTTACGCATGTTGCCGTTCTAAAAAAATGGTCAGACGTACGCATGCAGAGTCCAGAGACTCGTCAAAACGACACGACGTCCTCGACGCAGACGTGTGCGCGCGATACACAGCGGCCAAACGCTCGAGGCCAAACGATGCCTCTTCTTTTTTTGCGTCTAGCGCCGGACCCCGCCGCACGAGCGACGGCAGCGTGGCGAGTCAGTCGTCAAACTCGTCAAAGTCGTCTGCAGCGGCGTCGTCGTCTTCGTGCCAGACAGCGGTCGCGGCGGCGCCGGCGCCAAAGCCGGGGGCGCGCTTGCCGCCTGTGGCGAGGACGAAGGAGCCGAGCGCCGCAAATACGATGAAGACGCGAGCCTCGTAGACGGCGCGCAGCAGCGAGAAGAGGAGCTTCTCGGGCCCTGCAGCGGGTCGGCGGGGAGAGAGTGAGGGCTGCTGGCATCGAGCCGCCACAGAGCAGGGAGGAGAGGGCGAGGGAGGAGAGGGCGAGGGAGGAGAGGGGTCGCAAGGCTCGGGCACGCTCGTGCACCGCGCAGCTCGGCGAAGCGCGAGTGCATCCCGCCGTCGCGCATCAGCGCCCATGCGCGCCCCTACAGGAAGGCTCCGGGTAGCTCCGGGCAGGCTCCGAGCCATGTCGGAGAGGAGCAGAGGGGGGAGGGGCGTGCCCAGTCCTTCGGAAGGCCACGCCCCTTGAGGTAGTTGTAGCCGAGGTGCCAGGTGGCGTCGGCCGAGCCGTGCCGCGCCGCCTCCGCGTAGAGCTCGTTGGCGAGCCTCCACGAGCTCGCAGAGTGCTCGGCCGTCAGGTCCTGGGAGAGCACGAGGGCGAGCCGGATGGACGCGTCCACCGAGCCGAGCACGGCCGCGCGCCGAAAGTACTCGGAGGCCGCGCCGCGGTAGGAGGCGGCTAGCTGCGGCTGCCGCCGCGGCATCGCCTCGGCGTACAGGAAGCCCGCGTTGTGCAGCGCCGGCTCGAGGCCCGCGTGCGCTCCGAGCAGGTAGTGCACGAGGGCGCGCTGCGGCCGGTCCGCCTCGTGGGCGGCAAGGCCGGTCTCGAGCAAGCCGTTGCCGGCGGGCCAGGCGGCGGCGGCGTGCTGCAGGAAGAAGAGGGCGGTCTCACAGTCGCGCCGCGTGCCCAGCCCGCGCGCCTTCATCCTGCCGATGTAGTACTGCGCCATCGGGTGCGAAAAGTCGGCCGCCACGCGCCAGAAGCGCTCCGCCTTGTGCAGCGACTGCTCCATCCCTTCGCCGCGCAGCGCGAGCACGCCCAGGTTGAAGATGGCGTCCAGGTGGCCGAGGCGGGCGGCGGCGGACAGGGCCTTGGCCGCCAGCGCGTAGTCCTGCCTCACACCCAGCCCGTAGTAGTACGCGTACCCGAGACCGGCCCACCCCGACGGGTCGCTCCGCTTGGCGGCGCGCCTCAGCGGCGGCAGCGCGCCCGCGCCGTCCCCCGCCCGCAGCCGCACCAGCCCGAGGTTGGCGTGGCCCATCGGGTCGCCCTTCGCCGCGGCGGCGGCGAACCAGTGCGCCGCCGCCGCCGTGTCGCGCGGGACGCCGTGCGTGCCGGAGTGGTAGAGGTGCGCCATCCCGACTTGCCCGGCGACGTCCCCCACGTGCGCGCAGTAGTCCATGTACTCGACAGAGGCGGGGTCGACGCCAGACTCGCGAGCAGCGGCCGGCTGCTTGCGGAGGAGCGTGCGCGCCTCGCTGCTCGAGTCGAGCCAGCCCTGCTCGACCGTCCGCTGCCGCTTCTCGTCCAGCTGCGCCATCGCGCCCGCTGCCGCAGCCTCGTAGTGAGCGGCGGCGGCGGGACACGAGGCGGCGACGCCGGCGAAGCCTGGGGGGGAGGAGGCACGGGGGCGGTGAGTGCTGTCAGGAGCTGATGCGTCCACCTCGGAAGTGTCTCGGAAGCGTCTCGGAAGCGTCTCGGAAGCGTCTCGGGAGCGTCTCGGGAGCGTCTCGGGAGCGTCTCGGGAGCGTCTCCGAACCGTTCGAGTACTGGGAGCCGAGGGCGAGCGAGGCGAGGACGGAGCCGCCCGAGGTGAGGGCGGCCTCGTACAGGGCGCGCCCCTGCGCGTACGCCCCCCCGCCCGCCGGAGGGTACCTTGCCGTCAGCGCGGCCGGCGTGGCATAGCTGAAGTTGTACACGCGCGACAGCGCGCGGCTCTCGTTCAGAAAGCCGAGCATCGCGAGGGCGGAGGGCTGGCCGGCGGCGGCCGCGCCCTCGAGCCAGTGCGTCGCCCACGTCAGGTTCCGCTTCGGCGAGCACGGGTCGCCCAGAAGGTACATGTGCCCCAGCGCCGACATCGCGAGCGGCTCGCCGCCGGCCGCCGCGTCGAGTATCGCCTCGGTCGCGTTGAGCAGCTCGGCCTCCTTGGCGGTGGTGACGCCGTCGACGCCCGCGTCGTGCCCGCAGTCCAGCCGCTGCAGCGCCGTCACGGTGCGGGCGACGGCCTGCCACGCCGCCACGCCAGAGCCAGCGGCCTCCGCCTGCGCTGCCGCCTCGGCCGCGCGCAGCCCGTCGGGAGCAAAGGTGAGCCGCGGCTGGAGGACGGCGGCGACCTCGGCCGCCGAGGCGGTGCCAGCGACCGACGCGGTGCCAGCGACCGACGCAGAGAGCAGGCAGAGCGGCATCGACCGGGTATCGAGGTGGCGCTCTCCAGCCAGGGTCCTGGCGAGATGAAGAAAGCGGTCCGAGAGTGCTAGCACGCGCCAGTCCGCACCTGTGTCGAGCCTATCTGCTGTGAAAAAGAGTTGTTTTGCCAAATTCTACCTCCTACGATTGTAATCCTCCCATCCCTGAAGAAAGAAAGAAAGAAACCAGACCAACCCAAACGCTGCCGAGCCCAAATCACGATGCGATTTTTAGCAATACCAAACAAATCACTGTGAGAGTCGTGATTTCTTGTTGGTTAATAAAAATCTCTCTCAAACGAGGGATGGGGGAGGGGGACACAGGGTCCGTTTGGTTTGTCTGTGTTCTTTCTCTCTTTTTTGTAATGCGAGGTGGCATGAAGGTTGCAGCGAGAATCGGCGAGGGACTGCGAAGGGAGAATAGGAAGAGGCGGCCGAGGCCCGAGCCCTCTCCCCTCTTGCACAACAGGAATTTTGACAATTAATCAGATGAACGATGAGCTCGCTCATCCCGGAGAGAGAGAGAGACCCGGAGTGGTTCGACTCCACACAAACCCGAGACGGTGACGGGCGCTGTCTTGAGCACTTGAGCACTTGATAGGGCCGATTCCGCATGGGTACGGGGCGGCGCTGTCTCGATGATCTCAGGCCCAGTGAGGTAGTGCGTCAGACCTGTCCTGGATCCTGCTGAACAAGCTCCTCTTGTAGCTCGATCGGTCACACCGCCAATCCGCCATCGCCGCCGACGTCTCACTGGTGAGATGAAAAACATTGGACGGACGGAAAAACACCCCCCTTTTGTGCCTGACCCTGGCCATGGCCTCTCTGGGGGTGAGCTGGGCCGGCCGCCTCCGGGTCCGCCACTCGCGCGATGGGCTCGCGTCCGGGAGAGCATCCGAGACCCGCGGTTGTCCGCTCGCTGGGCGCGACCTACATGGAAATCCACTGCACACAGATCTGTGCTTTTGGCGCCTATTGCTCGCTCTCTGTGCAATCGCAACGCCAGAGGCCGGGCTTGGAGAGTGTGTCGCAGTGCTGCTACGTCAGTGGATTGAGCCGCGACGCAGGCTCCATCGGTGAGCTGCGGCGGCGCACCGGCCGCTCCATGCATGCTCTCCGGCGAGCCGTCGCAAACGCGTTTCCGTCCGCCCGTTTCATCGAGTTTGCCCGAGTGGTAAAATGCAATCGAATCTGCCCGAGTGGTCAAGTAAAACTTTGCCTTTCGTAAAAGCTGCCCGAGTGGTCGAGTGGTCAAGTAAAACTTTGCCTTTCGTAAAAGTTGAACACACCACGACGGGTGAGTCCACCTCGGAGGGCGACGCCGACATGGATGAGAGGCCCATCTCCCAGCGCCTCAAGCGCCGCGACGGGAGCAAGCCCCCGCCACCTTACAGTGGCCACGATGACGACGAGGAATCGTCCGACGAGGACGTCGGAGGAGAGAGCGTGGAGGGGAACGGGGCGGAGCAGGCGGGGGGGGCGCAAGCCGCCAGCAGCTCCAACACCAACCCACCTCGCCAGACCTTCTCTTGCTCCATCTGCGCCCGAGACTTCAAGACAGCCAAGTCGCTCTGCACGCACTTCAAGACGCACAACTACACGCCCGTGGACCTCGCCTCCAGTGGGCTCACCAAGTGCGGATGCTGCGCCCAGATCTGCTGCCTCATCCCCAACAAACTTCCGGATGGCTCGGGTGGCAACGGGACGAGCATGTTCTTCAACCACCTCTCGTCTCACAACGACCCGCAGCACAAAGCCCACAAGGAGAAGATCACGCCGAAGGCCGAGTGCACCGACGCCATCGCCAAGGCACTGCAGCACGCGGCGCCGGGCACACCGGGCGCCAACCTGACCCACGCTGACAACCGTGGCGTCTCGGCTGCCACTCGCTCGCCCACGACGAGGGAGGTGCGTCCAAGTACCCCGCCATCGCCGCAGCTATCGCCACCTACGAGTCCGCCCTCTCGGACGGGAAGGAGGTGTGCGAGAAGCGCGCCGCCCGCGACAAAAACAAGTACTACACCGTCCGCGGCGGCTACCTGACTGAGTTCTACCCCAAGAGCGTCCCGCTCCCCGAGCCCGAGTCCCTTCCAGCTACCGACGCGATTCTCAATGGCACTTGCAAATCCACGTACCCGCGGCCGCGGGCGCTCGCTGCCATCAAGAATCACAAGGACTGGTACGCGCACCAGGAGCTCGTCAAGGCGCGGGATGTGCACGTCAAGAACAACCCGTCCCTCGGAGACAGCGCCGTCAACAACCGCGAAGCCGCGCGCTTCGTCTCCGCCTCAACGCCTTTCGCCGGCAAGGCCTTCGATGTCCGTGTCGACGGTACGTACGCCACCGCCCTCTCTAGTGGGGGAAATGGTGATTTTTGAATGAACGCCTCGCGCAAAACCACCGCTACCATGCCAAAGAAGACCCTTGTGGGCTATCCAGAACACCTAAGATCATGCCCTAGCTCTAAAGTGGGCCCGAGATACGCCAGCTAAACCCCGGATTTTTTCCGGCAGCGGGGGCCACACATGGCCGGCTACCCAAGCGGGTCGCACGGAGACACAGGAAGGCTGCCGCAAGCCGCCTCCGGGTGCAGGGGCCCGGCGCGGTGGGCGGGGGCAACGACCCGGTAGCTGGCCGCGCCTCTCCCCCCCCCCCGTCGCCGCTGCACCCCTTGCCGCGGCCCTCGTCGCTGCTGTAGCGACAACAGCCGCGGCACGAGGTCAGAACGCGGCCTCGGAGAGCTCGAGCGAAGGCGCCGACGGTGGCAGCCGTGGTAGTGGTTTATGGTAGAAGGCTCCTGAGCCGTCGGGCACCACGCTCGACGTCGCCGAGCAGCCGCACCTGTCGCGAGCGCCTGCGCGTCGGGCGCTGCCGGCTCGACCTCCATTTTCGGCGAGGTGTCGGGCGCGGCGGGCGGCTCCGGCGCCTCGGTGGCGACCGTGGGCTCGGTGGTCGCCTTGGGCTGCCTGTGGATGTTGTCGTTGGCTGAATTCTTATGCTTCTTGCCCGTTCGGCCGAGGCCTCGGTTGCGAGGCATCTCGGTACACGCGACGGCAGCACGACGTACACGACGAGGACGGCTCCTTGATGGCGACCTGCAGCAGGACGGTGCGCATGTTTGGAGCGTGGTAGCGGACGCATCGGGCCTAGCCCGGGGCCGTGGCGTGTACCGAGAGGCTGGTCTACCGAACACTTTTGGTGCATACCGGCCCAGAAGAGCGGCGGAAAAAATTTATTCGCACACTGAGCCATTTCCCCCACTACCCTCTCCTCCGACACCCTCCAAGACGAGCTCCAGCGAAAGCTCGGCCTTTGGCTCTCCGCGGCGCTTCCCACCCTTCGGGTCGCGCTCGAGCGGGGCATGCCAGTCGATTTCTTCGGCGACTACCTTTACAACAAGGCCCACCACCGGCGGCCCCACGACGGCGTCCTCGCCGCCTGGGCGGACGCGATGCGCGCCCCGGCCAACGCGCCGGTCGTGCACGGCGACAAGGAGAAACCAGAGCTCACCCGGCAGTACAACGAGGGGTACAAGGTCGACCTCGCGGAACCCCATGCGGGACCGGGAGGATGCGATGAAGTGAATGAAATCAAGCTCTGGACGCCCCTCCTCAAGACCTCCTCGCCGGGCGTTGGCAACGCCTCGAGTGGCGGCACGCCCGCCTCCGTTGGCCACTCCTACGCCTTCGGCAACACCGAAGAAAAGGCCCGCCGCCTAAACATGGGCTGCAAGGCGCGCGGGCAGCCCGGCCAACCCTTCGACCACAAGACCGGCCACGGCTACGTCAAGGCGCATCGCGGTTTCTACCACGACGCGATCTTTGTCAAGCGCAACAACTTCAACCTGCTGCTCCACGAGACGTTCGGCGGCGGCTTCTCGCCCACCGCCGTTCTCAAGCTGCGCCGCCTCGCGCGCAAAGTCGCGCGCGGCAGCGTCGACCGCACGGCCTACTCGCCCAAGTACTCGCTCTCTTTTATGTCCCACCATGCAGAGCGCATCTCTCTCTCTGTTGTGCGAGGCGTGAACCGCGCCATTCGCTCTCACCTGGCAACCCTGTCTGCACGTCTCGCGCGCGCGTGAACAGGGCTCCAGGCCCCAAATTACGTGTGAGTGTTAGAGTTGTTTGGTATTGCTAAAAATAAAAGTTGCCCGAGTGGTCTGTGGGGAAAAAACGAAAATCGAGACGGACTTCTTGAACGGCCGGGCAACATGTCCTCCTTACTATTATTAATTGATGCTTTTTGCACGGCTGAGCCCCCCCCCCCCCCCCCTCCCCCGCGCCCATTCCCTGCCCTCTCCCGCCACGCACTCCGTCAGAGCCCCCTCCCCTCTTGCACAACAGGAATTCTGACAATTAACCAGATGGTTTAACGATGGGCTTGCCCATCCCGGAGTGGTTCGATCCCACACAAACCCGAGACGGTGACGGGATGCTGGCTGATGGTCTCAGGCCCAGTGAGGTAGTGCATCAGACTATCCCGGATCCTGCTGAACAAGCTCCTCTTGTAGCTCGATCGGTCACACCGCCATCGCCGTCGGGGAGAGGGGGGACGACACTGCTTTGGCAGCGTGCACCTCGATCCTGTACCGTGTTTGTTATGACCCCCCCCAATGAACACACCAGTGAGGGTGGGCGAGACGATCGAGGGGTCCCGTACCATGCGGAACCGACCCTATCCAGTGCTCAAGTGCTCAAGATGATGGAGAGGGGGGACGACACTGCCTCGCTCGGCAGCGACGCGTGCACCTCGATCCTATACCGTGAATTGTTATGACCCCCCCCCAATGAACACACCAGTGAGGGAGGGCGAGACGATCGAGGGGTCCCGTACCATGCGGAATCGACCCTATCAAGTGCTCACTCAAGTGCTCAAGAGGCGGACGCCATATTCCCATATAGGGTGGTGGGCGACGGCTAGCAACACACCTTCCTTCCAGTGAAATCCCTGTGTGGTGGCGGCGTGCCGTCCTCCCCATCATGCTTGCTTTGTTTCTTTTTTATTCGAGTGCGCTAAAAGTCGCATTTCCAAGCGACTTCGCATCAAGCCGCGGAAGCGCCTAACAGCCCCGGTCTTCTTACATGCTGGCACTCCTTTGCTCGTCGGCGGCGTACAACGTCGCCGTTACCGGCGCAACCGGCCGGACCGGCCGGCTGGTTGTCGATAGCCTGCTAAAGAGCGGGCACTCCGTCACGGCGCTGGTTCGCGACGGCGACAAGGCGGCTTCGGTGCTTCCGGCGGCGGTTGCGTGCCGCGAGCTGGACCTGGCGACGGCCGGTGCGGAGGAGATGCGGACGGCATGTGCTGGCGCGGACAAGCTGATCTGGTGCGCCACCGGCTTCACCGACGCCGGCGAGCTCATCGACGTGCGCGGCATGAAGGAGCTCGTGCCAGGTGCGATCGCTGCGACAGGCGAGACGCCGGCGGTTGTGATGCTCTCTTCCGCGGGCGTGACGCGTCCGGCGTGGGACGACGCCAAGAAGGAGCTGCGTGCGTGGCGGCGCCGGCAGACTCCAAGCAAGAATCTCCACGCCGCCAACGCTTCGAGTAGGCGCGGCTCATCGGCTGCTCCGACATCCCCATCATCCGCCTGAACCCGGGCGGCATCCTCGGCAAGAAGTGCGAGGCGGAGCAGGCGGCCCGTGCCAGCCCCGCGCGCGCCCCTGAGCCCCCCTTACCACCATCACCACACCACCACCACCACCACCATCACCACCACCACCACCACACGCACACACACACCAGCCTGGCGCCCCGCGCCGCAGGCGCTGCGCGAGAGCGGCGTGCCCTACTGCGTGGTGCGGCCGACCGGCCTCAAGTTTGAAGGCTGGCCGCAAGGCCGGCCCTTCCTCTCGCAGGGCGATGTCGCCGTCGGCCGGTGCAGCGCGCGAGAGATGCCGGAAACCACTCAATTTCACCTGCGTGCTCCAGCATACGGTGTCGTCGACGACCGTCTTGCGGCCCCAGCTACCAGCTGCAGGCACGGAACACGCCGCGGTGTGGCGTGTGCTCTGTGATCCCTGCGCGAGAGAGACGCGCGGTCGCCGTCGGCAGTTGCTTTGCTGCCGCGTTCTGTGACAGACTCCGCTGCAAACCCACTGCACGTCGCACCCCTGACCTCTGCCCTCTCTCGCTGTTTCTCACAACTGTGTCTCACATGATTGACGCTGTTCACGGCAGGTGCAATGCCGTCGACTTGGCAGAGACGCTTGTCGGCGTGCTCGGTGAGGCGGCGGCGGCGGGCAAGACGTTCGAGCTATTCACGCTGGCGGGGCACGGGCGGCTGCAGGCCACTCGACCGTCGGAAGAAGGAGCTCGCGGAGTCAAGACTGCCCTGCATCCTCTAGGTACCCGCCGCCAAGCTCGCTCTCGCCCGCGCTGGAGCGGCTTTCGGCTGACGCGGCGGGGCCGCTGCCCGAGGCGGCAAATCAGAGAGGGGGAGGGGAGAGGGAGGGAGAGAGAGGAGAACCAAAGCGCGCCCAGGACACGCCGCGCAGGTTGCACTCGGGCGGGACCCTCCCTCAGCCGGAAAGGCGCGAGGCCGTGGCTCGAGGTGGGGCCGTAGCGTGCCCACCCGAGGGGGCGTGCCATGCCAGGCGGCGGTCGACGCGGCGTACGACCTGCTGCAGCAGTGCCTTCCGGGCGAGGAGCAGGACGCGACCAAGCTCGAGATGGGGCGCACGTACGAGCAGGTCGACAGCGGGGAGGTGCGCCGCGAGAGCGGCGCGCCGCCCACCGAGCGCGAGCTCTCCGTGGCGGGCGGCGCGCTGGAGGGGATGGGCGCGCGCGGCTCCGGCGGCAAGCGAGGCCTGCTGAAGCGGCTCTTCCGCATCGGCGCGTCGTCGTGAGAGTCGCTGGGTTTGTAATCTCAGCGCTGACGCGAGTGGCCGCGTACCTTACTCCATTAGCTAAGATACGTGCGTATATGGCTATGGGCGTGGGTGGTAACAAAATCATAGCCGATAAATAAAATATAAAAACGGTCAAACTCTCACAAGACGAGATGGATTTAGTGGACATGTGTGTCCCCGCCCTGCACGATCTTGGTGTGGTCTGTGATCAAGAGGGAGATCTTCAATCCGTCCCCTCACCCCTGGGGTGCGTCACCACTCCCCGAGGCGAGCGACCCGCCCCCCCCCCCCCCCAATCGCCAATGCACAAAAGCAGCAGACGGCTCTCTGGCGGACGTCGGCTTGGACGCGTACGCCAACTTTGGGGACACCAAGATGAGCATCACCGTCGGCAAGCAACCGCTGGGGTCTCGCCCCCCCCCCCCCCAGCAGAGCTCTGCTGCTGGGGGTGCTGGCATATCTGTACAGACAGCCGTAAGTAAGTAGCGTTCCCTGACAGTTTTGCCGGCGACGGTCGCGCGCGAAAGTAGAAAAAAGGGAGAAGAGGAATGGGGGAAAAGAGAAAGGGTCGGTAAAGAAAAGGCGGATCGCACCTCGATGGAGCTCGGTTGCGGCCCCCCCAACTTGATTGCTGCGGCTTTTGGTGAGTCTCACCACCACCTGTCGCCGTGCTGCCGACAGCCATGGCAAGCGTCGTGCTTCTCGTCTCACTGCCCTACGTCCTGGCTGCTCGGTGTGGCGTGGACAGCTGCACCGACGCCGTCCTCGAAACGCTCGCCCGAGATCTGACCGCCAACTACAAGGGCTTCTCATCGTGCGAGTCTCGCATGAACTGGGTGAAGAGCAACACCGGCCGGACAGAGGTGGAGGCTTGCGAAAAGGTTGCGGAGGAGTTTCCGGAAGAGTGTGGCGCCTGCCACCCGTTCCAGTCGCCGCCTCCGCCGCAAACCTCGCCGCTGCCGTCGCCGCCGCCGCCACCATCACCACCACCGCCGGATTGCCCATCGCCACCGACGCCCGAGCTCAACAAGACCGCCATCCGCGGAGCGCTCCGCACCTTCACAAAGGAACTCGCAAACGTTCCGGATGTGCTGAACAAGACCTACTTTGCGAACGCTTCCCTCCAGCTTCCGCAGTGGCACATCTGCACCATCGTGCAGCAGTGCCTCGACCCGCCCATCATGGGTCGCATCGGGGACATGCCTCCCAAAGCCGTCCGAGCGCTCCACACTGCCCTCCATCTCGCAATGTCGGACGATGCTCACAACCTGCTGCTGAAGCAGATGCACTCGAACCTGCTGCTCGGCGAGCTGCAGGACTGGGCGAACTCCTGCCCGGGTGACTGCTACGAGCTCAGGGACGCGAGCGGACAGCTTGAGCGGGGGCTTGTGAACCTCACCGACCGCGGCTACAAGATTCCTGCCAACCGTACCGAATGCGGCGACCTCCGCGCTGCGGAGCCGCCTAACTACACGTTCTGGCGCTGCTACGAGAAGCCGCGCTTGTTGCACAAGGCAAACATCGACACGGAGACGGGGCGATACGGCCTCGGAAACATTTTCAAAGAGCCGCACATCCATGCTCGCAACAACTTCTTCGACTTCGCCTCGGTATACGGAGATCTCGTAGGCGAAGGCCCGTTCGGCTTCCGCTTCTCTGGCCACCACTTGGACATCAACTATGGGTTCAAGGCTGACGGATCGGTGGACGACCTTCCCGTTTTCCTCGGCCACAACCCGCTCGTCGTCCCCGGCACCACGCCGCCCGTAGTGCGCAGCCACGACGACGAGCCCATCGTCGACGACCGTGGACACGAGTACCTTTCGTGGAGAAGCTTTGCAGGCCTCTCCATGTTTCCGAGGGCGGTACACTTGGTGTTTGGGGCTGCCAGGCCTCTGAACAACCAATCGTTCATCCCGCTAAAAATGTGGAACTCGACCTCGTGGTGGGGTGGCCTCGAGCTGAAGAGCGGCAAGAACATCAAGGACTACCCGCACCTGGACATGAGCACGATGGAAGAGGAGGATTTCGGGGAGGTGTGGGAGCTGATCGCGTACACCCTGCGGTTTTCCCGCGGTCACCGAGGCACGGAATCCGAAAAGGATCTCTTCCGCGCTCAAGGGCGACTGGTCTGGACCTCGGATCATCCTCCTGAGGAGTATATGCCAAGCTCTGAGGCGGATCTGCTCGAGGAGAACTTCTACTACGTGCGGGCCGAGACAGACGAGTGGCTCTTCTTCGTTATGATCAACCAGCTGTTCACGGTCGTGGCCGAAACGGAGACGACGAGCCATCTGCACTCCATCCTTGTCAAAAGGAGCATGGTCAACTGCGACACGGCGTGCTGCCCGCCGTACTTACGCGTCCCTATGGAGGACGACCCGATCTGCGCCGGGCCCGACCATCACCATTGACGGACTGGGATGGAGCCTGGCGAGCCGACGAGCTAGCTCCCTCGTCACACACGCGCACGGACGCATGGAGATCCGCGCGCGTGCCACACACACACACACACACACACACACACTCCATACGCGAGCCCGCTCTCGCTCCGCCGCTCGTGCGCCCCGCGCATGTCGGCCTTCTCATGCCTCCGGCCTCCGAGCGCCCACCTCGGGCGCTCGGGCGGTTGGGGATGGCATATCGGTTCCCTGGGCGTTCACTAGCGCTCGCTTGTGGGTGAGAACGGAGTTCTCTGGGTAAGCTCAGCTGTGAACTTCCGAGTTGTTTGCTCCCTCCCCTCCCTTACCGTGTTCATGTCTTGCTAGGATTGCATAAAAATTTCGAACTCATATCGGCGAACCTGCGAATGTCCTGAAAGTTCTATTCTTCACGTAAACGCACAACCCCGGGCCCCGAAATCGCACAGTGATGACAGTGACATGCAACACGGGGTCCCAGGGAAGGCGAGCAAAAACCTTATCGCGCGCGCTAGACGCCGACGCTCTCTATTCTTCGCGCAATTTTTTCTTTTCACTTGATGCGAAGCTCTTCGACCACACCTCGCCGTGAGAAAGGGCACCTTTCGCCTCCCACGATGCCGCTGCTGCTCTCCGCAGCCGCGCTGGTGCTCGGGGTGGCCGTCGAGCCGACGCAGCGCCGCCCTCCTCCGCATGTCGTGCGGCGCACGACCCAGGACCGCGACGCCGCGGCGCCTGGAGCGTGGGTCTCCGAGCGGCGGCAGAGGCGGCAGCAGCTGCTGGTGAGGCAGCTGATTTTGCAGCAGCAGCAGCAGGGGCCACAGCAGGGGCAGCAGCAAATGCGTGAGGCGCAGCAGCAGGAGCGGCCGCCGCAGTCGCGCGAGGGATTCGATCCCTTTGCGCCACTCGACAACCTCGCCCGCGCCTCGCAGCAGCGGCTGGACGGTGCGATCGTCGAGGAGCTCTTGGCGGGAGGGGAGGCGTCGCTCCCCGGCGTGGGCACAGCGCTGCCCGCCGGCCCGGCGGCGACCGCCCGCGCCGCCGACCGCCTCGAGGCTGGCGAGGCAGCGCCGCTCGAGGATGCGAGCGTGCTGCACCTGCTCGAGCGCGAGGCTGCGGCTGCGGCAGACCACCTGCTCCGCGAGCCGTCGGTGCTGCGCGGCTTCTCGGCCTCGACCGGCCTGCCCACGCGCCCCGTGCGGACGCGGCCCCTCGGCAACGAGGACACCCTCCGCCTCGTCCAGCGCGCCTTCTAGGAACCTTCCAGGAACCCTCTGGGAGCCTTCCCCCATAGGCGACCCTCCGCCTCGTCCAGCGTGCCTGGTTCTTTCTGACGGCGCGCGGCACGTCCGAGACACTTCCCGCGCACGCCCGAGACACCTCCCGCTCCGCCCCTCCTCTGCTTCTGGCATCGCCGCCGCAACCTCTCGCCAAGCCCTCTCAAGGCCCAGCCGCCTCTGCACACCTCCACGACACCTCCGCGACACTCCGCGACACCTCCGCGACACCTCCGCGACACCTCCGCGACACCTCCGCGACACCGCAACACGTCCATGACACCTCCGCGACACCCGTCCGCGACACGTCCGCGACACGTCCGCGACACGTTCGCAGGCGTCCGATGCGCGGAGGGAGCTGGCCGCCGAGGCGGCGGAGGAGGCGGAGGAGGCGGGCGGCACGGTCAGGCCGCCCGCCTCGCTGCAGGCGGTCCTCAGCCGCATGCGCCACACCGACAAGCCCGCCGCCGCCGCCGCTGCCTCCGCCACCGCCGCCGGCGCGGCTGCGGCTGCCGCCCAGGTCTGCTTCCCCCGCGGACTCCCACACTCTCTCCCGCAATCTCCCGCAGTCTCCCGCAGTCCTCCCACACTCTCCCGCAAGCTCCCCCCCCTCCCGCACCTTCCTTCACCCCCCCCCTTCCTTCATCTGTCAAAGGAGCCTATATCCGGATCCACTCAGCTGTGTTTTTCGTGCTTTTTGTATGCGCCTCAGAGAAAGCTATGCCCTCGCTTTTTTGCGGCGCTTTTTT